TTTTTCTATTTTTAGTAGAGACGAGGTCTCACTCTTGCTCAAGCTGTTTTGAACCCCTAAGCTCAAGCAATCCAACCTCCTTGGCCTCTCAGAGTGCTAGGATTACAGGTGTGAGCCTCTGTGCCCAGCTGGCCCTGTACATTTCTATCCCTGCTTTATTGGTTAATCAGAATTGATTCCCCATCCCCAGCATGAGCACACACACACACACACACACACACACGGGGGTGGGGGGGAGCTAAGCATAGTCTCCACAGCACAGTGCTTACTCCTAATGGCTCAAAGCCTGGGATTCAGATGACCACATACCTGGTGGCGAGGGCGGCCCACGATGGAGGGGAAGACAGCCCTGGGAGCATCATCTCCTGCAAAGCCAGCCTTGCACAGGCCAGAGCCATTATCACACACAAGTGCAGTGGTCTCCTCTTCACACATGGTTGAGTGTAGTGAGTGAACTGGGAGCTAGAGCACCTTAGGGGTTGGGAGAGAAAAGAACTAGTCAGTCACTTGTCAAATCATGTCGGAGACAGTTTCTTGGCTTTAGGCCCTCAATCCTGCAACCAGGGCCCACTTCCAGGAGGGACACGTGTGCACCTGGCCTCCCTTTCTCTGGCATTTGGGCTCTTCCCTCTCCCCTGCTGTTAATGGAATTAATTGTTTCTCCCCACAATTCATGTTGAAGTCCTAATCCCTACTACCTCAGATTGCAACTGCATTTGAAGATTAGGGTCTTTAAAGAGGTTATTAAGTTAAAATGAGATAAATCCAATATGGCTGGTGTCCAATATGACTACCCCAATCAGCTGAGAGTCTTTATAAGAAGAGGAAATTAGGACACAGGTGCATGCAGAGGGTAGGCCATGTTAGGACACAGTGAGAGGGTGGCCATCTACAAGTCAAGGGGAGGTCTGTAACGTGACCAACCCTGCAGACAGGCCTGTAGATGGCCTCCTTCTCACTGTCTCCAGAACGGCGAGAAAATAAACTTCCATTGGCAAAGCCCCCCAGCGTGTGGTACTTTATTACTGCCTCCCTGGCAGCTAATAAACTGCCTTTGAAAATCCAAAATGGCTACAAAGCTTTCTCCAGTGGAGAGAATCACCAAAAGACTTTAAGTTTTGGAATACAGTTGACAAACTTTGCTATATACCTAATAAAGAATTATAATTTACAATATACAAAAAGGTCCTACAAAGCAATAAGAAAGAAATACACAGCCCAAAAGAAAAACAAAGACTATGAACAGTTAATTGACAGAAAGGGAAATGCAAGTACCCAACTATGTGAAGGGACAGTCGACCTTACTGGTTACCAAAGAAATGCAAATCAAATACCATTTTCCACCCTCACGTTGTCACCGTTCATAGCTTTATAGTAAATGTTGGCAAAAGTGTGGGGAAACTGGTATTCTCTAACTAGAGAAACAAATACGCAGTTTGAAACTACCCAAATGTCCAAATTATGGCACACAGTGTTGCAGCTAAGAGAAGAGCAAAGCGGATCTATGTGGGCGGACATGGATAGATTTCTAAACCATTCTGCTGGGTGAGAAAAGCTCTCACCCAGACCCCAGGACCCAGAATAAGATAACCCTATTGGTAAAGCCATGAGGCTGAGCAGTGATACAGTTAGGCTTATATACAACTGCCTGAGTTATTGTCACTGAAAGGTAGTAATTAAATAAATTAATTAATTAATTTAATGGGCAAATGAATTTAATGGATGCTGAGTGCATTGGCTCACTCCTGTAAGCCCAGCACTTTGGGAGCCAAGGTGGGCGGATTGCCTGAGCTCACAAGTTCGAGACCAGCCTGAGCTAGAACAAGACCTCGCCTCTAAAAATAGCTGGGCATTGTGGTGGGCACCTATAGTCCTAGCTACTTGCTTGAGCCCAAGAGTTAGAGGTTGCTGTGAGCTATGAGGCCAGGGCACTCTACTAGGGGTGACAAAGTGAGACTCTGTCTCAAAAAAAAATTTTTTTAATGGGATAAATATGAAGTCCTGTATGTGGATTTCAATAACCACAAAGCTCTTATTCAGCACCTGTAGCAGGACCCGGTGTCCTTTGACTGTCAGCAGTATAGTGACAGGATAAAAGCTGCCTCCACTCCTGGCTGAAAGATCGTGGCCAGTTCTAGGGGTCACCCTTGCTGGCAAAGGTATAAAGGAATGGGTTCACATGCACTGCTGGTGCGTGTCAAGTTGTCCTACTTTTCTGAGGAGAATTTGAAAATACTTATCAAAAGCCTTAAAAATGCACTTACCTTTTGACTTGACAAAAGTGCTCCTAAGAATTTATCCTTGTAAAACAGTCATGGGTGAGTAAAAGGATTTGGCTTTAACACAGCTTTATTTAAAATGATCCAAATCAGAAGCCACCTTAATGCTGAAAAAAGTTATTGAATACTATATAAATTGGTTTTTTTCTTCTTGTTCCCATGAAGGGGAAGAAAAAGAAAAAAAATGAGGGAGAGAGAGAAATAAATAAGTTTGTAAACTAATTGCCAGAAATCTCCTTGCAATAGAGAAAGCAAATATTCAAGGCCATGGAAAATGTGCAAGCTGCTTTGTTAGCTGAAACATAGCAGTATAGTCAGTGTTTCCAATTTTGGTAAGAATGTATTTTTATTTTTATTTAATTAATTAATTTATTTATTTTGAGACAGCCTCTCACTATGTTGCCCTCAGTAGAGTGCTGTGGAATCACAGCTCACAGCAACTTCAAACTCTTGGGCTCAAGCAATTCTCTTGCCTCAGCCTCCCAAGTACCTGGGACTATAGGCACTGGTTATAACGCCTGGCAATTTTGTTGTTGTAGTCCTCATTGCTGTTTAACAGGCCTGGGTCAGGTTCGAACGCACCAGCGCCAGTGCATGTAGCCTGGCGCCCTAATCACTGAGCTATGGGCACCGAGCCAAGAGTGTATTTTTATTTTTATTTATTTATTTGAGATAGAGCCTTACTATGTTGCCTTCAGTATAGTGCCGTGGCATCACAGCTCACAGCAACCTCAAACTCTTGGGCTTAAGCGATTCTCTTGTCTCAGTTCCCAAGTAGCTGGGGTTACAGGTGCCTACCACAACACCCAGCTATTTTTTTGTTGCAGTTGTCATTGTTGCCTTGCTGGCATAGGCCAGGTTCGAACCTGCTAGCCTGGGTGTATGTGGCTGGAGCCGTAACCAATGTGCTACGGGCGCTGAGCCAAGAATGTATTTTTAATTAAAAGAATTTAAGATCCTCTGCATTTGTTACTTAATCTACTTAATCCTCAAAAAAGCCCTGAGAGAAGATATGTTTAATTCCATTTTATAGGTCTGAAAACTGAGCCTCAGAGAAGGTAAAGAACTTAGCTAGAGATGTCCTCTCCAGGAAGAGGCCGGGAGAGACAGGCGTGGCATCAATTGATGACAGGTTCCAAAGGCTGAGCATGTGCCTTCCTCGACTTTAGTGAAAGTGTCATAACTTGCCCATGTTTGGTGTTTTTGCTTAAGTCCTATCTGTCTCTTTACAGCTGCTAGCAGCAAACACCCTGAAACAAAAGGGTCTGTGTTCTTTTCTCTCTGTGAACCTCTGAACCCATCCTATGCCAGGACCATGTCTGGATTCACTCTTCTAGCCTCGGAACCAAAGTCAGTATTTAGCACCTAGTAGGTGCCATGGTTTCAGTGTTTGTCCCCTTCAAAACTCACGCTGAAATTTAAGTGCTGTTGTAACAGTAGTAGCAGGTAGGCCCTTAATTTTATTATTATTATTTTTTGAGACAGAGCCTCAAGCTATTGCCCTGGATAGAGTGCTGTGGCATCACAGCTCACAGCAACCTCAAACTCCTGGGTTTAAGCGATTCTCTAGCCTCAGCCTCCTGAGTAGCTGGGACTACAGGTGCCCACCACAATACCTGGCTATTTTCTCGTTGTAGTTGTCATTATTGTTTGGCAGGCCCAGGCTGGATTCGAACCCGCCAGATCTGGTGTATGTGGCTGGCATCTTAGCTGCTTGAGCTATAGGTGCCACCCAGGTAAGCCCTTTAAAAGATGATTAGGCCATGAGGGCTCTGCTTCAGGAATGGATTGAAGTCCTTCTCTTAGGAGTGGGTTTGTTGTCTAAGGGCCAGAGGCCCCCACTCGCTCTTTCTTGTCCTTTCGCCATGTGAGGACACAGTTTTGAAGCAGTGACTGGACTCGTACCAGACACTAAACCTGCTGGTGCCTAGATCTTGGATATTCCAGCCTTTAGAACTTTGAGAAATAAATTTCTATTGTTTGTAAATAACCCAGTCTCAGGTATTCTTTTGTAGCACAAACATGGCCTAAGATGACAAGCACTCAGTGAATGTCGAATGACAATCCCACCACTGAGCGGCCCCTCCCAGACCTGGCGTGCTCTGCCTCTGGGATCCCCTAGTCCCCACAGTCCAGTCTCAAGACGGCTTGGTCACACAGGCCTGATTTAGAATGATGTGGCCAGTTTTCTCTTCAGGCTGGCCAGCAAGCAGCTCTGTCGCCCTGTTCTAGCAGGTGGTCCACCAGGAAGGGGAAACAACTTCAAAAGCTAGAAGGTGGCCAGGAGGCAAAGCCCCCATTACCCCTTCTGGTGTGTGAGTCATAGTTCAAGACTGTCTGGCTTTTATACAAGCCGCCCCACACACCCCCGTGGGTCCAGTTCCCCACACACCGAGGGAGAGCACATTGGGCTTTGTTTCCCAAGCAGAGCAGCAACCGAGACAAGTCCCAGGCAACTCCAGGCTGTTAATACCACCATTCTGCTGCATTCCAGGTGGCTTTAAACCTGCTCTTTTGAAGGCAGGAGGAGGGCTGGCTGCCACCTTGAGCCTCTTCAGGGCCCTTCACTACCCTGGGAAGAAGGGCTTTACCCTGGAATCAGACTCCTGGAAAGTCTCTGCCAGGAGAAATTCTAAACCTTCCTCAGCTGCTTTCTGGTAATTTGTGGCTAGACTCGAGCATGTCAGCTGAACCAGAGCCCAAGTCACTGTGGTTTCCTGGGGTCACAACCACTTTGTGCTCATGGGAAGCTGAGTGAATTGTTTTGGCTGTCTCAGAGTGTACTACATCTGGGCTTCATTGAGGATCCCGTGGAGTTAAAAGTGCAGCGTTTATTCTATCCCTCAGAGGTGGCCAGAAACCAAAGACATAATGAGTGCAAATAATTTGCTCACTCACCCATCTGCCTGGCCACCCCCAACCCAATGTGAGGACAGAGGTGTTAAATCCACCCCTCACCATCACTCCAAGGAGGCAGGTTTGGCTCTAGGGTTCTTCCCACTTCTCCTTTCTTTGCGAGTCTCCTCCCTCCTGGTATTCCTCTTCCCATTTGCCCTCTCTGGCCCTCAGTTTCCTCCTCTATAAAATGGAAAAGATAATATCTATCTCATGAGATGATGGTTTAAGTGAAATAATGGGAATGAAAGTAATGTATAAACTGTAAATCAGGATAGGCAAGCTCAGACCTATTTTTTTCTTCTTTTTTTTTTTTAAAGAGACAGCCTCTATCTCTTAATTTTTTTCAGCTTCCCATGAGCACAAAGTGGTTGTGACCCCAGAAAACTAGTGACTTTGGCTGTCACTCCAGCTAGAGTGCAATGACATCATCATAGCTCGCTGCAACCTCCAATTCCTGGGGTCAAGTCATTCTCCTGCCTTAGCCTCTCAAGTAGCTGGGACTACAGGCATGCCACACCACACCCAGCTAATATATATTTTTTGATTTTGGGAGTCTTAATGTGTTGCCCAGGCTGGTCTTGAATCCTAGCTTCAAGGATCCTTCTGCTTTACTCTCCCAAAGTGTTAGGATTATAGGCATGAGCCATTGTACTAGATTGAGTTTTACATTTTTAAATGGTTGGGAACAAAAGAAAAAGAAGAAGAATATTCCATGACCCATGAAAATGATATGAAACTCAAATCTCAGTATCTATAAATAAAATTTTATGGAAACACAACAACACCCTCTCATTTATATATTATCTATGGCTGCTTTTGTTACAATGGCAGAATTAAGTAGTTGTGACAGAGAGCTGTAGGCCACCAAAGCTAGAAGTATTTACTGCTAGGTATCTGGTCCTCTACAGAAAAGTCTGTATTATAAAAGATAAAAACAATTCTTATTAATCCCTCTTACTCTTCTTCATCAAAACTTGCTCCCAGGATGAAGCCTTTCATATTGGAAGGAAGTGAATGATATATTTCACAAATCGATGACTGCTAAAGGTTGAATTTGCACCACTTCTCAAAGATATTTTCAATTTACTAGATAGTTTTATCCCTAAAAAGAAGGCCTCTCAAATGGTGATATTTCAAACAGTATTTGGGGACATAGTTTTGGGGTGAGGGCTTCAAAGGACATGTAAACAGCTGCCTATCTATTATCTTCACATACACAAAATCAGCAAACCTGGCAGGTAGAAATCACTTCATGAAAGCATTGTTAAGGTGGAAAATTCTAACAGGATCTCTGATTAACTTTAACATTAGGGTATCTTCACTGGGTTAATACACATGAATCCGACTGAATATGACTCTGGTTCGTAGTATTTCCCACCCTCAGGAATCTGCCCTTGGCGCCTGCTCTTCTGGCTCTTACCTGACCTCCCATTCACTCCCCACTCAGCTCCAGACCAGATCCTCTCCTGAGCTCCATACTGGCAGAGCCTGCTGTGCTGCGGCCCCATTCCCCCTCCTGCATCTTGACTCAGCACCTCCAGGACTGCTCTGCCTATCATTGGCCTCTACCTGGAACCACCATCAGAGGCTCGCACCACCCACCCTGGAGCCCAACACCTTGGTGCCTCCCTCTGTCCTACCAACCAATCACAGGCCCCTCTTAATTCTGCCTCCATGGCCCCAGTACCACCAACTCAGGACCACTGCCCACTGCAATTGTACTCTTGCCCTGTTCCAGCCCACTCTCCTCACAGCTGCCAAAGCAGTCCCTTCAAAAGGCAAATCTCTTGCTGTCACCCTTGTTTGGCCCTCCATTGCCTGATTCCTTAGTTTAGTACCTGAAGCCCTTGTAATCCAGCCCTGCCCATGCCTCTGAATTTAGTTCTCTTTGCTATCTGTCTTGCAAGCTAAATTCAATGGAGTTGAGCTGCCACTTGAGTTCCAAAAATCATGTTTCCTCTGACCAGAACAACCCTAGTTTAGCACCCAGCTCAGGCACCCCTTCCTCCAGGAAGCCTCCCCTGATAACTTCCAGGCTGAGTGAGGCTTCCTCCTGGCCTTGCCCCCTTTTATATGCTCATCACTCCATGGTTCTTATCTGTTTATCCATCTCTTCCAGTGACTGCAGAAGCACTAAGGAGCAGGGACAGTGCCTGATACATAAAAAGTGCTCAGTACAGGTTGGTAAAATGAATAAAGAGAAGGAGGAAAGAAATCTTGCCACAAGATCTTGCTGTCACACTACCCATCCTGGCTTCTTAGGCAAGGCAAGTAGAGTCTCACTGCTCATTGCAATTTCTCCAGCACCCATTCATCTCTGTCACAGGATGCTCTGCCCCTTTTCAGCCCACGGGCTAGTCTCAAACTACAAACCCACATTCAAATAGTGTAAGAGAGCACTTAGAGCCTCCTTGTGCAAACTGTGCTCCCAGACCAGCACACCTGAAGGTTGCTAAGGATGCAAATTGTCAGGTCCCACCCCAGCCTACTGAATCAGAATTTGGGTTGGAGTAGAGGTCAATCTGTGTCTTAACAAGCCTTCTAAGAGATTCTTAAAGTTTTGGAATCCAGGGCAGGCCCTGACAGCCTTGAGCTGAGTGTATAATGCATTCATACTTTCCTTCAATTCTCACCCACCACCACCAAGTAGATATTACTATCATCCTCATTTGACAGGTCACTCAATAACTTTGAAGCCTGGCAGTCCGCCTCCAAGGCCTGCACCATACACCAGCCGGCCTCAGCTGAAATGAGATGCTAGAGAGTTTTGATCACAAAAACAGAAGCAGCCCCGTGGCTTCATTTTCCTCTTAATTCTTTGTGCATGCATGTCTGTGTGTCTGTGTGTGCTGGGCAGGGGGCGAGGATGACATTGGCAGGTGGTTTCACAGCTAGCGGAGAATGGTTTGAATGGCTTGACTTCTCCAGGCCTCAGTGTTCTCAGTAGAGGAAGATGAATTAGATGGCCCCAAGCTCATCCCTAAAACCTCAGGATGCCATAGAACAAATGTGATACTCCCCATCCCCCAATAACCCTAGAGTCTTCAGGAACTGAGAAAAGTCTCCATTCACTTCAGTCAAGCACAAATCAGAGGACAGAGAGACCCACAGGGGGACTGAAGAAAATGCCCTCCATTCCCAACATAGACATCTCATGGACCAGACGGCTCATGGACATGGGACCATGTTCGGCTTTGATACAAAAACCCTGAAAAGAAGCTGTTTTTCTGCAAAGTATCTGCTCCCCTGAAATAGCTTCCCAGACATTCTGACAAGTGACAAAGAACATCAGGTGTCACTAACCACTGGCCCTAGGGAGCAGGGCAAGCAGAGGTTGCAGGCATTATATTGTAGCTGCCCCCCAGTCTGAGGACAGAGAGCACAGTTCCAAGCTGCCCCTGCCCCAGGACACCCTGTGGCCAAGAGTGCCTTATCCTGGCAGGCAGCAGTGTGCTTGCAGACTTCTCTGCTCACCAAGAGCCCTAGCGTGTGACCTGGACCAGCGTCACAGAAGCCAGGCCAATCTGGAGGTGCCTCCCATGCCCCACAGACCAGGCAGCTCCAGAAAGGGAGAGGGGGCAGAAGTCATATGGTACTCACCGAGTGTCTGAGAGGTTCTTCTCCCAGTGACTGAGGGCTGGTGTGTCTTTGGCATAAATATCAGAGCAATATAAAACCCCAGAGGCGGATCTTCTTTAAACAGAGTCCCTAAAAAGGCCAGCTGACGGTGTGTTAGCAATATTACCATATAAGGTGTTTTTTTCAATAAATCGCCTTGGGGGGTGGGGAAGGGGGGGAATGAGTAGAATGAATTACCATTTGAAAAATGTATGCAAAAGGACTGGAGTGGCAACAGCCCCGGTGCTGGTGGATTTGTTCCTTTTATGCTGCACTTGCATAAACAAAACTCACACCAGGCCTTATAAGCTGTCCAGAGGGAGACCAGATACAGCTCTGCTCCAGGAGAGAGAACCATACCAAGAATGGCAGTGGGCCTCCTCTGTCCACACCTCCTTCCACAGGCCTTGCTACACGCCACCCTGGACATGCTTGGGACACCCATGCAGTGTCCCCCAAATGGGTGCAGTTGTACCTTATCTGGTACAAGCCTGCGACTGATAAAGGCTAAAGGGAAATGTCATCTGTACCTGGGAAAGAAATCCCTCGTGCCCTACTCACCTGTTGCCTCTTAGCACAAGCTCCTAACCCCTGGGCTGTCATCCGGGAGTCTCAGGGCGTCTTAAGCTTCCTCTGAATCTTCACTGTCTCCTGTCTTTCCTTTTCTTACTGGAGTCTCTCTACCTGTCTATCAACATTGGGAATTATGCACTGAAGGATCTGCTTCAGAGTTGAGGCACCCCCTAACAAGACTTACAAGCCTCTAGAACTTTCCATAGTCCTATGGTTCTTGCTTTTCTTTTTGTTTTTTGTGATGTTTTTTAGAGATAGAGTCTCACTTTGTTGCACTCAGTAGAGTGCTGTGGCATCACAGCTCACAGCAACCTCTAGCTCTTGGGCTTAGGTGATTCTCTTGCCTCAGCCTCCCGAGTAGCTGGGACTACAGGCACCTGCCACAACGCCCGGCTATTTTTTGTTGCAGTTTGGCCAGGACCGGGTTTGAACCCACCACCCTTGGTATATGGGGCTGGCCCTACTCACTGAGCCACAGGTGCCGCTCATTGCTCTTCTTTTTATAATCCCTATTCTTTCTCTAGGCAGCTGCTTCACTTCCCACATTTTCAGCTACTAGCTCTATGGGGACACTTTCAACTTTACTTTCCCACAGTCCCAATACCTCACCCAAGGCAGACTTGAGTGATCAATTGCCCATTGGACATCCCCATCCAGATGATTCTACAGCTCTTCAAACTCAGCCTGTCCTAACCAATCCCTTCTCTCCTATCCTCGAAGCTGCCGTGTCTCCTGGGTTCCCCACCTCTGCCCCCTTCCCTCAGTCCTTCAGGGTGGAGGTCAGTCAGACTAGAATCCTCTCTGTTCCTCATACTCCCATAACCACCTGGGTCCCCTACCAGTAGCCTGCCCTCAGAAATGCCTCTCAGTGCCAGTCTCCATTCCATCCCTGCTGGCCCTGCCCTGCTGCTGGCTCTGCACCCAGGAGGGTCACAGCTTCCTGATTGCCCTTCCTCACTCTGCTCCATCTACAGCCCCTGTGGCTCCCAGCATGGGAGTTCTGGCTGGATGCAGCAGCAGCTTGATGTGGGAACATGTTCAACACGCAGATTCTCAGGCTTCCCAGACCTATTGACCAGAAACTCTGGGGGGGAGCCTCGGCCATCTGTTTTACACACTCCCCCAACCTAAGTGCCTGGGATACCCACCCCACAACAGAAGGAGCGCGGATTGCTTCCCTACTGTGTCCAGAAGTAGTTTGCTCTAGGTAGTTTGGGGATGGCCCAATGCAGTGGCTTCATACAGGTCTGAGAATTGAGGCAGGGGGGCGTGTGGAAAAGAAGTATCCTCTGCTAAGAGAACCCCAAGGGAAGATTAGGGAAGGCTTCCCATGGTGGTCTGTGGTTGTCCCCTGTGGAGAAGGGATGCTGTCACCATCACAAGGTCTACTTACTCATTTTTTGACCATGGGCCTGAGTGTTTAGTACCTTAAGTCTAAATTTCAGGCCCTATGGGAAGCTCCTCTGAGTCTTTAAAGTTCCTAGAAAAGTCCTCACCTGGGATTCTGGGTGGAGGAGGGCTCCCTTCCCAGACCTGTGCTGCACACAAGGTGGTGGCAGATGACAGAAGAGGTGGAAGCTGTCCCAGCCAGGACAGAGTGCTGTCAGTTCTGACTGGTCAGGGTGGACAGCTCAAAGCTGCTTACCAAGGTCACAAGCTCCCCCTTGGAGTCACCCTCCTTGGGTGGGGATGAGGCCAGGGCAGGGACAGGGTACCAGTCTCCCTTAACTTGGTTATAGGTCTAGGGTAAGGTGACCAGATTTTATCATTGGTAAAGCGGGATACCATTGACCCGGGGAGGGGCGAGGGTGGGGCAGAGGAGCCGTGTGTTCTTGATTAAAAATTTGGTCTAGGCTCTGCGCCTGTGGCTCAAGTGGCTAAGGCACCAGCTACATACACCTAAGGTAGCAGGTTCGAATCCAGCCTGGGCCTGCCAAACAACAATGACAGCTGCAACCAAAATATAGCTGGGCATTGTGACGGGCACCTGTGGTCCCAGCTACTTGGGAGTCAGAGGCAGGAGACTTGCTCGAGCCCAGGAGTTGGAAGTTGCTGTGAGCTGTGATAAAATAAAAAAATAAAAAATTTGGTCTGTATGGAGCAACAAAATTTTCATAGAATGCAAAAATAGTATTGTAATTTTTTTTTAAATTTCAACATAAGTACAATTTACAAATATAATACATTAAAAAAAATTGTGTATAGGGCTGCACCTGTGGCTGAAAGGAGTAGGGTGCTGGTCCACCTGGGGGACCTTGCCCAGGAGGGGAGTAGGGAGTTTACATTAGCCTTTTCATTTCCAAATGAAGTTACATTAATCTCTTCATTCCCAAATGGAATTACATTAACCTTTTCAGCAGCCGGAAAACTGTATATTCCCTTCCCGTTGTCCCGCCCTTTCCTAGATTGTCCTGCATTCTTTCCAAAAATCGGGACTTTTTTAAAAGGCCGCAAATCGGGACTGTCCTGCCAAAAGTCTAGGGGCATCATTTCCCTTCACACTGCAAGGTTGGCTCAGCTTCCTTCTCATTGTTCAGCACTGTGGCGGGGGACACCTTGCCCTGATGGCATTCACACCTTAGATGGCACGACCAGCTGATAAATAATAAAGAGCCCATGACGAAAGGGAATTGGTTGTGATCCAGGCTGTCAAGAGCCCAGAGACCAGACAGGGAGGCCTGCCGGATAAACTGACGCTCTTAGGAAATGCTAAGGGGGCTAGGGTCTGTCTAGACTGTGACAGAGAAGGTTGGAGAGGTACTTAGTTTTTAATAATGTGAGGAATCCTACCCTTAACATTTGTTTTCTGGCTTCAAAAATTCAATGCAAAAAATTCAAAGGATACAAAAATGTGTGTTTTACAAAACAAATGTTCCCTATAATCCCACACTAAGTGTCCTCAAACTACAGCCCATGGGCCACACGGGGCCTGCCTAGGACATTTATCTGGCCCCTGGGTGTTTTTGCCCCCGCTGCCTGTCCTGCTTAGCAGTTGACTCATCCTGGGGCCTGCAATCAGGCCCTCCAATTGTCTAAGGGACAGTGAACTGGCCCCCTGTTTAAAAAGGTTGAGAACCCCTGATTCCCACAAAGATGTGAATCAGAGATGGCCACTGTTAATAATAGGATGTGTTCTTTAGAATCTTTTTTCAGACTTTTAAACATTTTTGTATTATTTTACAAATGTGGGATTAATGTTATTACATATAGTTTTTTTTTTTTTTTTTTTTTTTTTTTTGAGACAGAGTCTCACTATGTCACCCTCAGTAGAGTGCATGGCATCATAGTTCACAGCAACCTCAAACTTTTAGGTTTAAGCGATTCTCTTGCCTCAGTCTCCTGAGTAGCTGGGACTATCGGCGCCTGCCACAATGCCTGTCTATTTTTTGGTTATAGTTGTCATTGTTGTTTAGCAGGCCTGGGCCGGCCTCAAACCCGCCAGCCTCGGGCTGGCATCCTACTCACTGAGCTATAGGTGTCGAGCCATATATGGTAAATTTTTTAAAGTGAAATTGTTTGATCAATAAAGAACAAGTGATAATTGATGGAACCTGTGAAATTATCTTCCAAAAAGATTGTGCTACTTTATACCCCTGCCAGTGGCGTATGAGACAATGCCCTCCTTTACATCCTTTCAGACACCCAGTATTAAAGGTTTTCCTCCATTATATTTGTTTATTACGTTTAGAAACAATGTTAATTTTCATATGACTCACTGTTCTAGATTTGTTTAGTTTTTTTCCCCCTAATTCCAAAAGTATAGCTGGGTAGGTGGCACATACCTATTGGTCCAGCTGTTCAGGAGGCTGAGGTGGGAGGATTGCTTAAGCCAAGGAGGTTAAAGCTACAGTGCATTACGATTAAGTCTGTGAATAGCCACTACACTATAGCCTGGTCAACATACTGAGACCTGTCTCTGTCCCTAAACTAAAAAAAAACAAAACAAAAGGAAAATACATGAAATAGGTGTCACTCTGCTCATCTGGCTCTGCTTGTGCCCACATGAACCATGTAGAACACTGGCAATTATCCACATTTAAAATTTTTCCTAATTGGAAAGGAGAAACTTAGTATCTTCTTGTTCTAAAATTAAAATTTTAAATTTTGTGGTAACTAAGGGGAATGGCATTTATTAACTTTTTTTTTAAAGCAGAGTCTCAAGTTGTCCCCCTGCGTCGTAGAGTGTCATAAATCACAGCAACCTCAAACTATTGGGCTCAGTTTTTCTATTTTTACTGGAGATGGGGTCTTTTTTTTTTTTTTTTTTTTTTGCTCAGGCTGGTCTCAAACTCGAGAGCTCAAGCCATCAACCTGCCTCGGCCCCCCAGAATGCTAGGATTACAGGCGGGAGCTGCCTTGCCCGGCCATCTTTTTTCTTCTTAAAAAATGTTTTCATCTTTCTCTGAGAATGGCTAGCTCATGTTTTTGCTTATTTTTCTATTGAATTGTTCACCTTTAGATTAAAAAATTTTTAGATTTTTAATTTTTAATTTCC